ATCTTCTGCTCCTCTCACACGCCATTGGCTTTCTATGTCACATCGAATTCTTGTAACAATCCCCAGACAGGTAACTTCCTGTACACGATTGATTTTGCTCTCTCCTATTTACAGCTTGTTTATATTTTGTTTTGCCAAAAGGAAAATTATGATCTGGAATTTTCATGAAAGCAATGATAGCACACACACTTAATCCATCAAAAAAATTATAAAGTAGATTTAATGCATTCAAAACAGTTAAAATACTTCGGTGTATAGATCGGTTACATCAAATTTAGTACATAATATAGGGAAAATAAACACAAGATCTGTTAGGGTCGCATTTTCCCAAACATAACATGCTAAAACCTTAAGTATATTATCCTGATAACTTGGTTCGTGCTCTTAAGAAGCCTCGTCAAATTTAGACTTTCCTCTGGAATACATCAATGGCGCCCAACTCATTGAAAATGTGTAAACTATCAGTTACATTCAACCATTATTTTAACATCAAGAGATTCAAGTGAATGAAAGGAATCGGTGAGCCGAGTTCGAATTCCAGTCGAATCCATTACATTCACTTACGTATTAATACCCTTGGGAAAGGTATGAATCCTCTTCTTCTTCCCACCAGCTATCGGTAAATAGCAGGACAGACCGGGTTCTGTAGCCTTGGGTGGCAACTGGTCTACCTCAGAAAGAAATGGAAACCTACTGCGGGAAAATCTGCCTCGTCAGTCATGTATCGAAAGATGCATGATCGTCTAAGCCTGTATCACGCATGTCACATAACTGACTGAATGAAACCTTTGAGGCCATAAAGAAGACAATCCTTCATCAAAACCTATAGGTTGGCGCTACAGAATCACAAAGAAACAGCTTTATCAAAAGACAAAAAAACACATCACCCGAACACCTTTAAGAGTAGCCAAAACTAAAATGGGTAATACATGTAACTAGAATGGAAACTAATTATATAATGAAGATGTTGACTTTCCACCTCACCGTAAACGAAATATTTAGTAGGATACTTCTCAATATTAGGAAGAACTACAACAGTTAATATTCTAATTTCACTATCCATTCTAATTTCACTATCCATGTTACGTACTTCAGTGATTATCACTTGCATTAAATCAGATGTTGCTCACATCAAGATTGGAAAATATTAATTTCCACGCTTCCAAAAGGAAACTTTTTTTTTTGTATGAAAGAAAATTTTCTGCCTTCCATCAGCATAGATGATGCTAACCTCTAGGACAGTAGCACATCGGGGCTTTTCAGCTTAACATTCTGCTGACATGAAGTGGAAAGATTATATTGAATCCATTACTATGTCTGTGGTTAGAAAATTTTGGTTAACTGCTTAAGATATATTCTAGATAGAAAATTTGTCTAGCAGATAATTCTTGCCCTTCGAATTTCTCTGAAATATTTATAAGTGTACCATTCGTCCATGCGTTGGATATTGCTGCCAAATATGGTTTGGTTCGCTTTCTATATATTTAGAGATTCTTGCTAAAATCCCAAAGAATCTGCAATGTTATTGGTCCTGGCTTTCTGTCAATTTGCCACCGCCATAATGTAGTTTACCTGTGCCGGTTCTATAAATACTTCCATGGTAATTGTTCTGATTAGCTATTCTCTATGTTATCTAGACTATATGAATTTAAGTGCAGCACTAGATTGGCGGCAAGGTCCTATAAATTTACAGTTGAATTCATGTAGATCCAACCGTAAGTTCTATGCTAACAGTTTCTCTAACGCACTTCTCGCTTGTGGAACTCTCTTCCCACTCTATAGATTACAGAAAATTGAATCAGCAAACATTTAAATGTACTGTCGATCGCTACCTGCACACGTGCTAATTCTTCTTCATTTGTTCTTGCCAGTAACCACTTGTGTCTCAGTGGCTTTACAGCCTTGAATGGAGTGAACACGATTAAAAAACAAAACCTGCCCGAAGGATATTTAAGCGTAAGTGAATGTAACGAACCCATTTGGGATTCGAACTCTGCTCTCCAAATTGTACTTGCGAGCCGTTAACAATTAAACCTCACCGTGCTTCTTCTTCTTCTTCTTCTTCTTCAAATGTAAGGCAAGGTCTCAAATATTTTCAGTTGAAGTAAATCCATCCGTAAGCTTTATGCTAACAATTTTTCTAGCGCACTTCTCGCTTTTGGAACTCTCTTCCGGTTCCATGCTGTCCAGTTAATTTTAATTTTTAAAATATTAAATAAAATAGCATTTAGTGGATTTGATAAGTCTACTTCCCTGCAAAAAATTTGTGCCGGTGTTCCAGGTTCACCCTGATCTGAGGTGTTAGCACCTGCTAGGGTGCCAACTATAGCCAAATAGTTAACCCTCAAACTGGGGTCAAAACACTATGAGAGTGTAAAAATCGGTTTTAATACCAGCAACACGTTTCTGTAAAAAGTTATTACCAGCATTACATTTTTGAAGAAAAAATTATTACCAGCAATACGTTATTACCAGCAATATATTTTTGCAAATAATATTACCAGCAATACACTTTTGAAGAAAAATTATTACCAGCAATACACTTTTGGAAAAAAAAATATTAGCAGTAATACATTTTTGAAAAAAAATTATTACCAGCAATAAAAATCTTGTCGGCATTAAATAACCCATTGACGTTGATATGCCGTAAAACAAACCAAACCGTAAATCTATTCTAAAAAGAATTATAAATTAGAATTAATACATTCTAAACAGTTCTAATACCTCGGCGTATGGATCGGTTACAGCAAATTTAGTACAGGAGATAGAAAAAAATGATGTTGACTTCCCACCCTAATGTTGTCTTTCCAGCAAAAACTTTATAAGAAAACTCATCGATATTAGAAAGTGCTATAATAGTTAGTGGAATTAATATGTCTATTTTCCTGCAAAAATGTTTTGAGTAAAAGAATTTGTGAATTACAAACAGTTGCAACCATAACGGTTCGGTTCATGAATGGTGAAGTTTTCCGGTATGGAAACAGCAATTTATCATTATCATTAAATTACAATTGATATTTAGTTATTTTCTTCCCGCTTTTTAAAACCAGATAATCGAGAAGTTCCTGTAGTTTTCTTTCAGCGTCTGCCATCGAGACGGCGTTAGTTTTATTGGCCAAAAGAAAAGAAAGAAAAAAAAACAAGCAGAAATTATTACCTGAGAAACTGTCTTCAAAATAGCAACGATATTGAATCAATACCGAAGATTCTTGATAACAGATCGTGGCACAGCAGTAGAGAAGCTAATTCCGTACGTAACCGAACTATTACCTGATTGAATAATCATGGAAATGTGCCAAGAATCACAATTTTATCAGATTATACAACTATTTTTATACGATTTTCCTAGCAGACTGATTACGATATTGTATTACTGACAGGACCTTTCCTTTTAGCTTTGATCATACAACGGTTTCACGTTGCTCTTATCTGTTAGGCTAATATTGTGGTAAGCAGACTTCTGTCTTGTTTCCTACAGATAAGCAATGTTTGGTCTGATCCCATTGAACGAATCAGAAGACGAATTACTAAAAGTACAAAGAGTGAATGACTTCTTGCCATCAACCATTCTCCCCTGTGTAACATTAGAAAAGAGCTCACAACTTTGTTTGATCTCTGGCTTTTGCAGACGCAGATCATTTGTCAGTCAGTTTCTCTATATATCGTCAGGTTGAAACTCTAAGAAATAATTAACGATCTGCATCTATCTATCTATCTATCTATCTATCTATCTATCTATATCAGTTCATTTTCTTCTATGTATTTTGCTCAGTATATTCTTTACTCTCACTCTCCTTTTCTTTTTTCTTTCTCTCTCTCTCACCCCTATATGTATGTCTGTCTGTCTCTCTCTATATATATGTATGCATCAACCTGATATCTATCTATCTATCTATCTATCTATCTATCTATCTATCTATCTATGTCAATCCATTCTTTTGCTCAATCTATACATTACTCTCCCCTTTTCTCTTCCACTCTCTCTCTCTTTTATATATATATATATATATATATATATATATATATATGTCAACCTGATATCTATCTATCTATCTATCTATCTATCTATCTATCTATCTATCTATCTATCTATCTAAATATCTATCTATCTGTATGAAATCGATCATTCTCTCTCTCCTCTCATTATATATATATATATATATATATATATATATATATATATATATTCAACCTTCTATCTATCTATCTATCTATCTATCTATCTATCTAAGTATATTCATAAGCATGTATGTAGGTGTACGTTTGTGTTGTCTGTGTGGGTGTATGTGTGGTTGGAGTCTCTGAATGAGGTTATGAGTTAACATGATAAGTGCTGCTCTCTAGCTGTTGATGGCAACCAGTATAGAAGTATATCTATCTATCTATCTATCTATATCTATCTATCTATCTATCTATCTATCCATCTACATGAACCTGTTCAATCTCTCTCTCTCTCTCTCTCTATATATATATATATATATATATATATATATATATATATATATATATATATATATATATATATAATCTATCTATCACAATAGTAAATAATCATAAAATAATAACAACACACCTAGTGTTAGTTAATATGCTAATTAAATGTCGATGTATTGGGAGTATCAATTATTATTTTTCAGTACTGAGACTATTATTTCAAATGATAGTATTATTATTAAGTCTATATAAATAGGAAATTCGAAGGAACTTGTGATTAGATCTTTAGAAAGAGCTTTTAACAAAACTTCGCCGTTTTCCTAATTTAAAGAACGTAACAAAAGAAAGAAGTTCTATGGTCATAAATCAAGAACGACTTTCAATAGAGGTAATTATTTTGAATAATTAGAAATAAATTTTAAAAAAATATTGCACTCATTAAAAAAGAATATATGTTCTTTTCAGTGGAATTTTTATCAATGTACATTTTCAGAGAGAGAGAGAGAGAGAGAGAGAGAGATAGATAAAGAATATATATATATATATATACAATGATACGAAATACGTTATAAAATTGAGACAGAGAGAAGATAGATACCGTGAGAAACTGGGAGATGAAAGACAATGAGAGAGAAAGAGAGCAAAGAAATTGAGAGAGAGACTGAAAATAAATTGAGATAGAGGATAGACATTGAGAAATAAAGGGAGAGAAAGACATTGAGAAAGAGAGAGAGAAAAAAGAAACTGAGGGAGAGAGAGAGAGAGAGAGAGCGAGAGAGTGAGAGGAAGGACATTGTGAAAGAAACTGAGAGGGAAGGAATTTTAAGAAAAAGGGAAGGAAAAGAAATTGAGGGAAAGAAAAAAAAATTGAGAGTGACAAAGAGAATAAACATTGGGTGAGAAAGGGAGAAAAAAGAAACTGAGTGAAAAAGAAGAAAAACTTTACAGAGGGAGAGTGGGGGAGAGAGAGAAAATAGACACCGAGAGAGAAAAGGAGTGGAAAGAAATTGAGGGAGTAAGATGAGCAAATTCATAAATTTCAATCTTATTTTTATAATTCAGTAAAAAATATGAATGCGCAATTACTGCGCACTAGAACGACTTTATATTCTGACAAAGTAAATCATTTGCCAGTCAGTTAAGTGCTATACGTGAAACACGATTGGACGAACATAGCTCTTTCGATTAATGACTGACAAGACAGAAGATATTCCCGCAGGAGGCTGCCGTTTCCTTCTGTCGTAGGCTGCTTGCCAACCAAGGCTACAAGATAGAGTCTGCCTACGATTCAGCCCATAGTTGATTTTGGAGAAGAGATAAACCACCTTGCCTTATTTATAACTGCTTTTATTGGAATTGCTATGGTGAGCTCTTTGCTCTGGTGTCTCGATTCTTTGGATTTAAGCGCAGTACTAGATGGGTAATGAGGTCTCAACAATTTACAGTTCAGTTGGCTAGGTGTAATCTTAAATTCTATAATAACAATTTTCCTCTCCCGCATTTCTCGTTTGTGGAACTCCCTTCCGGCTCCATAGGTTACAGAAAATTTGAATCTGAAAACAAAAAAATCAATGTCTGCACTCCTGATTACTATTATTTTGTTCTCGCTTCTTAGGAATACTCCTGTTTCTAAAACAGTAACCACTTGTGTCTCAGTCGCTTTACTGCCTTGAATGGGGTGAAAACAATTAAAAAGAAAACCTTCTCCAAGGGTATTTACGCGTAAGTGAATGTAAAGAATCTATGTGTGATTCAAACATGACTCTCCAATTTGTCCTCGCGAGCCGTTAGCAATAAAACCACACCATACTGTTTCTTCTTCTTGTGCCAAATATTTAATCACATCGCAACATAAATTAAGCAGCACTTTTTCACAGCTACTGAGTATTCCTTGAAAACATTGTTCACTGAAGACATTATTCTGCTGAGATTTGCTCACAAAGGAAATGACCCAGCTGGATTTGTTGACCATTGGAAGCCATTCGTCTCTCACATTGACTTAAATGCCAGTTTTTGATTGCAGGAAACAATAGACTCGAAATCAAAAATGGGACCCGGTTGAAGAATACAGAAGACGACAGACGCGGAAATAATGAACAACTGAAGACAACGATCCAGACAACGCATCAAGAAAGAAAGGAATACAATCGATACTGCAACTAAAAGTTTAGTGAATGGGAAAAGAGGCTGCAGGATTTATTATTTCGAATACAGTGAGATGTAATTGTGTTACTTTCATTGGGATAAAGAACTGCTTTTCGGTTTTTAAGTAAACACAGGAAGAATTCTTTTTTTAAAAATGACTATCATTCTTTATATTTTTGCAATATCAAATACCGCTCTATTTAAGCATTCACCCACAAATGTACATGGAGTTATGTAAACATACTTACATATATATATATATATACCGACAAAACTCTCACTAACGGAGTAACAGTGGGGATGGGTGGTCCATTAAAATCGATTGTCCGTAGATAGAAAGGGATTATTTTTGAGTTATAAAACCACTAAAGTAACTACCAATAGTTTTGATCATAATGCAAATACTATAAACATGTATATATGGCATAAATAAATATATACTTAATATGGATATACTAATGAAAATAACAAAAATAATAGATTTCTCACAGCTACTTTCTCACGCACACATTAATTTATCGTACTTTATATACTGTACATCCATCTTTGTTTGCAAATGAAAGGCCAGGCACCGCAGCCAAGTGGTCATTTTGAGAAATAATACGACTTGCTCTTCTAAGCACGCAAATTTTGAAATACATCGATGACGATTTAGAATAATTTTTTTTTTAATATTTTGCCGGCAGATATTTCCGTTAGATGCGAAGACTGTTGATGCGGTATCTGTAGATGAGAGGTTTGCACACACACACACACACACACACACACACACACACACACACACATATATATATATATATATATATATATATATATATATATATATATATATATATATATATATATATATATATATATACATACATACAACGAAACTTAATAAAAATAAACACGGTACCACCCCTTGTCTGAATGATTGGATCAATCTGTATCCTTGGGAACAGTGAATTATGATTTCTTCGTTGTCTTTAAAACTCTGTAAATTTAAAAAAAATAAGTTACTTCAAAATTCGCTTGAGGATGAAATGAAACTAATGTTTTTAATTTAATTACAAAATTAAATTAGAAGCTTTTAGCTTCCATTTTTGAAACATGGTTATCACGGTGTAGCGAAAACATATTTTGAATTAGTTTATTTATAATACAATTATCTATCTATCTATATATATATATATATATATATATATATATACATATATATATTAATATATATGTATATACATATATATATATACTTTTTATACATATTTATATATACCTATATATATATATATATATATATATATATATAAATATATATATATATATATTAATATATATATCTACATATATATATATTTTTATATACCTATATATATATATATAAATATATATATATATATACATATATATATATAGCTAGATATATATATATATATATATATATATATATATATATATATACCTTTATACATATTTATATATACTATATATATATATATATATATATATATATATATATATATATATATATATATTTTTTTTCATGTATATAAGAGGGCTGATTTTATAACCTTTTAAAAGATCCTTTCAATGCACATAAAAATGAGATTTTTGAATTTTTGATTGTTTACATATTCATTTGGCTGCTTCATGTGGTGCAAATTTCAAAATATGCGTTTGTTTCCTTTGGACTCCCCTGAGGTTTGGAATTCGTTTTCGACGTATTTTATAAAAAATATTTTAATTTGCCACAGACAAAGAAAATATAATCTGAAAATAAACTACGTTCACAATAAATTCTGATTTTGATTGGACGAAATTAGGATTGAAAAAAGTTAAACACACACACACACAGACTCTGTCTATAAAGATGTAAATAACGTACACACACAGACATACACACACATACAAACAATTTGGAATAACTAATTTTTAAATTTACTGAGTTTTAAACGCACATATAAATTCATAATTCCCTGTTTCCAAGGATACAGAGAAATCCAGTCATTAAAACAGGAGGGGTAGCGTGTTCCTTTTATTAACTATTGTTGTATCAATTATGAGTTACGTTCGAAAAAGAGATTAAGTTTAGGAAGGTTAGGGGTGCATTTTTCAACGAATTCTGACACCCGTTAAATGAATTTCGTCTTGGTTTTATTTTATTATTAACGAAAAATCTTTCAGCATTTTTTTTCGTACTTGTATACTTAAAGATTCTTTCTAAAAGGGGTGTTTGTGTTAGAATACGTTATATTTAACTACAATTTTAAAATATTTTTTACTCTTAATTACTAATAGACTATATTTATTTTTACATCATATAAATGTAATAGAATAACTTAAAATATTTAAAAAATTATTTTTTCATATCATATATAAGTATGTATATTACCAGCTCTCATTTTTTTATTTTATATTTAAATATTATTTAAGGATAATTTTTTGACAATGACGGCAAAGAATAGCTATTTCATTTCATTGTTTCAGTAAATTTTTATTTTTAATAAACTTAGTAATATATAGTTTCTCATGTATGCACAAAGGACATGGGTCATTTAATGAACCTACATATTCTAACTTTTCTAATTAATTTCCATTTTGTTGTACGTGTTTTGTTGGTTTCTTTTAAGTACCAGAAATATAATGCTATTAATTTAATTATATAATTAAATTTGAAGTTCTTAGTTTCAGTTTTGAAACATGGTTATTACTTTGTAGCAAAGAAACCATGTTTTAAAATCATAATATATATATATATATATATATATATATATATATATATATATATATATATATATATATATATAGTAGATACCTCCATAATTTGCCAAACAAAAATTGTACTATGATGAAAAAATTACCCAAACTTGAGGAAACTAAGTTCATCGTTAGAATCTTTATGCTATCATTAAGAGGAGTGAGCACAATACTTTAAAAATATTAACTAGGTAACTAGGAGCCTTAAGCCTAACCTGCTTTGAAGACCTTCTTAATAGGACTGACATAGAAACTAATACAATATGGGAACCGCTAAGAAAAAATAGACAGGCAGCAAGTCTCCAGCAGAAGCAGCGAAAAGAAAACTTCTCTGGTTTGTGCAGTCAAACATCACAAGATGTAGAAGCAGAAGGTAGGAATGGGCAATGGGATGAGAGCAGTCAATCCCCACCTAAATTAAAGGTTTCATTTGAGAATATCCCATAGTTTACACGGATCGACAGAGACATGTTGAAAGCCGGAGGTCACAACAACCGAAATGTTGTGATGATAACAAAATGAGATCAGTAGTCCGTATGTAAATAGTGTTAATAATGAAAACTCCTCATCACAGCAAATCAGACACCAACAATACATTTTGAGGCGCATAAAGTAATATTTTATTTTTCTGTGTATAAACGATTTTTTTTTTCAAATCTAAGAAATGTGTAAAAGAAAATTAGGATTTTTAATATCATATCATGAAGCTATTTTAATCATCATTAAAAACATATTTGAGGGTAGATTTTATTGATTTGTCTGTTGAGCTCTATATCAACTCCTTAAGGTCTTTTAATGCTGAAATTGCAATTTCTGGGGAGCTTGGAAGTAATAAAAATGTGATATATGTTATTCTGCTTTCACAGTTGAATACATGGTAGATGATACTCAGCTTTTCTGTATTTATGTTTGTCTGGATATAATTACTAGAAACAGTCATGTGTTCCTCGTGTTGTTTTATTGATGTTATATTTTAGAATAGAGTTTGATTTAAGAAATTTTATGATATATAGATTAATGTCATGAAAGTTGTTTCATGTTGGTTGTTTCACAATATTTGAAACGGATTAGAATGTAGCCGGTACAATTTGTCAGTATGTGCGTATTGTTGATAAAATGTTTATACTAAAATATATTGCTTGGAATTTTA